CCCCAAAACCCCAAAACCCCTTATTTATTATTTTCATTTAGAAGTGATTGTATTATTGATGAAATTAAGAATAAGCTTGAACTCATTCTAAGGAATATGTATTTTCACATTTTCTCTGAGTCCTTATCCTTTTTATCTTTTTTCTTATTTTTCTTATGCTTCTTACTTTTTGTCTAAGGTAGACTTGCTTGTCTCAACTTCTCTTCCTCCATCATTTATTATTAAAGTTCTTTAGATCTTTGCTCTACTTCAATTTCTCTTACCTAATTATCATGGTCTCGTCTTGTCATTTTATATATTGAGAACTAATTTTCCTCCTTGTCTTTCTCAATATTTTTTTCTCTCTTTAAATCCATAATCTATTCTCTAAACTCTTTCCTTAATTTCTTATTTTTTTCTTGACCTTCTTTTATATCTCGAGCATAAACAGGAAGCATACCAACTATTCCATTAATACCAGATTTAAGAATCTGGACTTCCTATTCTTTTTTCCATTAAATTTTCTATTCCTTATCATCAAGCAATCCAAATTCAAAATCCAAGACTCTTCTCTTTTTCAGTAACTTTTATAATTCTTCCTCCAATCTCTTCGTCCTCTATTCTTCCTCTAATTAAATTTCTAAGAATTCCTTTTCCATAGCCATAATTTCACTCTACTCCACATCTTTATCTGATTTGATCTATTCAATCTATGATGTAATTTCAGTTTTTTTCTTTTATTCAAATTTCATTCGTTTAATTTCCTCTTTCTTGTACGGAATGTCTTTGGTAAGATTATTGGCAATATTGTTATCTAGATTAGCATTTATTGATTTCATGTGTATGTATTTAATCAAGTTGAATCGCAATTTAATCTTTTAAATTGTATTGTTTAAAATTGTAGTCTTAGAAAAAGCTTCTCCAGAAGCTGTCCTTAGACTATTACCTTAAAGATTTATAGAGATCATAATCATATTTGTTTCAAGGGAATTTGCAATTTTTACTCCTGTAATATCTGTCAACTAATTCTGAGATAAATCTAATGATTTCAATAGTGATACTTTGCACTAGAGCAGATTGTATAAATGATCGCTAACAGCATCAGTCAAAAGATTTTGTCTAAGCTTAAGGTTGAATAGTATATTGTTCTTTTAAAGACCTTTAAATAAGCCTATTGCTGCTGGATCTCCCATTTGGCATTAGCTGAGATTAAGAATACGAAGATTTGAATTAGATAAGATAAATTCTTTCATTAAAAATTCTGGACAAGAACTGATAACATTTGATGAGAGGTTTATCTAACTCAGAAATCTTGCATTCTTTAGGGAATTAAAAAGTCTTCGAGCTATTTCGTTATCAAAGGAACAGTCAGAGATGTTTAAGTTTAAAATTTGTGATGTGTTACAGCATTCTTGCATAAAGTTTTCAATAGATTGATTTCCAATGTCATTCTTGGCAATTATTAGTTCCTATAGCCTAAATGGCTCATCATTTTATTCCATCATTAAGGTGAGCTTATCCAAGCCTATATTTGAAATATGATTCTTCTCAACATTCAAAGAAAGGACAGTGCTACTATTTTATAGTACTTAACAGAGCGCTTAAAATCCTTTATTTCCGATTCCATTTCCTTTCAAATTAATAAAGGCTATAAACCTCTAACTTAACAACAACTAAGCTAGCATTTAAGCTCCAGCTGGGCCGATTTTATTTGGAGTATTACTTTCTATTTCGGTGGATATATTTATATCGACAATCGATTAATTGCTCTCAAGAGCCTCAAATAAATGCTTAGCACCAATGCAGGTTATATTATTAGACGAAAGGTTTAATGCAATCAAAGATAAGTTATCATTTAGGTAGTATGATAGTATCCTTGTTCCATCATCACAAAGATTATTGTTTGAAAGATTAAGGATTTTCACATTCGAAAATCGAGATTTTTATAGCATTTTAGAGATGAAATAAGCTGAGTTAAGTCCCATCTGCATGTTTTTGAGATTTAATTTACCATACCTAGAATGAGTATTGATATATAGTTTAAAGTGCTCAAAAGCCTTTTTCATTGAACCTTTATTTAGTAAATCCATATCCTTCATTCTTGCATCAAACAGATGCACTATAGTGATATCATCAATCGTATTTTTCAAATTAAAATCAACCTCCTCACTATATAAATCATGAATATATATTGTTGATTCTTACTCATATTGAAAACTAGTAACAAACATTTTGCTTGGAGAAAGATCTTTAAGATGACTTAGGGAGCTTTAAACAAAGTCTGATTATTAGATTGATGAATTAAAAATATCATATTAATTTACAGCACTTATTGATCTGTTTTGATTCCCTTTGTTAAACTTCATTGCTTTCATTAGCTGCTATTAGGATTCAACCACAGAATATGGATCATTAGAAATAGATGTTTAATTCATAAGATAATTTCTTTTATGTGATGTTTAAGGTCTCATATGTCTTCTAGGCATAGCTTAGCTTGATTAAAAGATTGTCTAAGTTTGGTTTGATATTTTCGTACCCATATTTCGAGAATCCTCTTTAGTCTCTTTATTAGTCAATGACAGCTATAAATTTAGACCTTTCTTTGTCACAGTCTGATTGATAGTAGTATTCTTAAGATTCAAGCTAATGTAATTGCTATTTTAAGCTACTGCCTCCTTTAGAATTTATCTCCTTATGTTTTAAGAGTGGTCTAAAAGAATTTATCTATTTATAACTGTAATTACTTTTTTGAATCATAGCTCGAGTATCAGATTGGCTTATTGTAGAATGTCTTCTTTTTTCTACTATACTATCATTGTACTCAATCACACTCTAATTTTAGTTATTTCTTGATTTCAATCTAATCGTAGTAAGCTTTGATATACTTTTAGGCTCATTAAACTTCTAACTTGAATAGACATTTTAATTTGAATCTTCAATTTTAATGGGTTTCAGCTGTAATTGTGTTTTATAAAAGTTGTCTCCTTTAATCTCAGTAGTCTGATCTAAATTCTAACCATAAGATGATTCCAACTTTCTGGGATTAATTTCTGTAAGTTTTGAACCTCTGCGATGCACTAATTTCATTAAAATTTTAGTCTGAATGTTAAATATATTCTATCAATTTTTTTAATTAATTCTTCTAAACTAATCAGATTTTGGCCTTGAGGGGTTTTGGGGTTTTGGGGTTTTGGGG